GATTCTCTGATTTCATTGCTGACCACAACGAACATTCACTGAGCCCTGCAGCTCCATCTCTTATGCAGTGTTCACTTACATTCACTGTCATCTCAGTATTTAGTGGTGAAGAATACTGAGTGAGGAAAAAATGTTTGGAAAGATTTTTAGTACTCAAATTTTTCTCTGAAAGTTGTCCAGTATGCCACATAGTTGAAGCAAATAAGGAACAGGGACATACCAAAACACTCCACATCTTTAATCTGCAAGCCTTCTTATAATATAATGAGGCCATATTGCCATATGTTTTGCCATGTAACAAGTTTGATTCTTCTCCATCCTCTAGGTGTCTACTATACTTTGCAGACCAGCACGTGCTTGCACGCTAGCATCCGAGCTCTTGCAATGACAATAAGTCACGTAGGCTGCATTATATTGTCCAGCGTTCAGAGACTGTACGTTATTGCCGTCGACAGTCGTGTTAAGCCTTTCAAGCATTTAATATCTCACTCATGCATATTATTTTACAGCAGCAGGATGCGTTAATTATCTAATTATGGACAGGATTAATTAAGGGCCCTGAGTGCGCGCTGTGTTGATATAAGCGAATTTAAAATCACAGCTCCTCACTTCTGCAGGGCTCTTCATAAAATCCCACGCAGGATGAAATGTTGCAAAATGCGGTTTTCAAAGCCCCATAACCACTCTGGATATGTTAATAAAAAAGCTTTAATTTCAAATTACATTTGGTTTGTATTTACTTTGCATTTATGGACGGCTTGACTGAGAAAAACAACTTTTATCCAAACAAGAATAGGTCTTTAAACGTACCAATTAAATCAATAAAACCAATCGTAGTACTGGAAGCACACACATTTAAGCATAGTTAAAATGTTTATTTGGAACTCAGGGTAGAATGGCTTTATCTGATGACCGTTCCACGCCTTTGTATAGCTCGAAACTGAATAATATCAAGATATGTTTATGCATGTGATTAGGTTCCATCATTAAAAATATTTGTAACAGGTTCTCATTTGCGAATGCGAATTCTCATTTTGTGGAAATAACACTTTGAATGTTCTCGGAGGCAAATTGATCAAACTTGTCTCAAAGCAAACTTTGTCGTTATTATTATTACTGTTTAGCAAAGTTTATTTAGGAGACATTTAGTGGAACAGCCGAATTGGATGGATAATAATAAATAATTGTCTTCAGCAAGATGATGGGTTAAAAATATTTACGTTATTTTAATTCTAATTTTATTTGAAAAGTTAATCGAATTTATCCACGACATTTTTACGTTCGAGGCCCCCCAGATTATCACTAAAGTGTTAAGGTTTTGAACTGTAACTTCCAAATTGTTCTGGTCTCTTTAGGCTGAAATCGAATCTGATGCAAGGAAATAAAAGAAAATAAGTACACTTTTTATTGGGATGTTTTTACAAGACCTATAACGTTTGAAAATATTGGTTATAAATGAGAAAACGGGGAACACTTAAACACTGAATTTTGAATGATAAAATGTTGTTAAACTTGAAGAGGTGGTGATTATCACTTAGGCTACTGTTTTAAGTTAACCTAGACAGTTATTTGGTTTGTGAAGCTGCATTTTTTGCTTGCATGGGCCAAAAATAACAGATCCAATGTTGCACGTAATCAAACCCAAGAACGGCCCAAAGTTGTTTGGATTAAGACGCACGATGCTCAATATTTGTAATATTGTAAAACGCGTATTTTTAAAATGTTTTATATACGAATGGAATTCTAATTAATCAACTGAACTACTAGAGTTTAAGAAAAAAAAATGCACTTAGAAACGTGTTTTAAAACTTCAAGACAAAAGTTGTGCATTCCTAATGTGATTTATTTTGTTAAAGGTGAAGGGGTCTCCTTGCGCGTTCTCCTTGGCTGTCTGCTGTGAGAGACTTTGAACTTGAACTTTACTTGTTGTCCCTGTCCAGCCGAATATGAATCGATTGTGAAAATGCTTATCGATTTTGTATATTTAGGCCTAATACATACATTAAATATATAAACCGACTAATTTTCAATTGATCAAAAATGCTTTTTTCCTCTCTAAATGCGTAATTTGTAATTTGTGCGTGCAAATTATTGGCTATTTCTTTCTGATGTCATAGTTTAAAATATGATATAATTTTAGTGTTCTATTGCGATTTTAATTTTATTTTCATTTTGTACACCAATTTGGATGTCCAAAGAGCTACATTTTATTAAGTGCTCAATACAAGTTATACATTTATGCCAGGGATTTATGCCTCAGATGTAAGTTGCTTTTGATGCTAAATGACTAAATGTAAATGTAAATGGATTTAAATGTGATCCTCTTCCTTATTAACAACTGTATATTCGTAATTATGTGGATGGAATATGTTCAGACACATTATTCATCATAAGGTCGTGAAAACTGCAAGTAACTTGTTTTTGTACTTTATAGTGCAAATTATATAATTTAGTTTTTTTTAATTTTGAGAAGTCTTTACTTGATCACTTAAACTTCAAGTCAAATGCAAATACTCAAGGACGTTTTCCATGCTTTTGTTGGCAATACTTGCTTTGACCTTCATCATGTTTCGTTATACGATGTTAAATGCAGAGGGAGAACAAATTGTCGTTTTGGGTTCATATAGGCCTATACCTATAATATGACGATTAAAACAACTTTTGTTCGTATTTTTATGGTGATTTCAGAAGCTATTTGTGCGTTTTTTTTCCTGAGGTAAACCTCCTTCGTAGGACTATTCACGTGTACACTTCTTTACAGCGGTGAATAATAGCAATAGCCTAACAAACCATCCAATTTCGTTTACCTTTATGTTACATATAGCCTACTGTAGAAAGTAACAAAAATATGTAACAACATAGATATGTAGCCTACTTATGTCAGAGGTGGTCGCTCACTGTGAATTGAACGAGTTTGATGCAGTTAGCATCTTCAAATAATGTTTTCTGTAATCCAGCGTTTCTGAGTATAAACATCTATTGTGTATTCATCAATTCCTTGTCTTTAAAGTAAGAATTAACTGTAGATACTTAGAAAAGGAATACAAAAAATTAATACTTGCGCATCACAGTACCATGAGAATATCAAACATGGCGAAAATAATTGTGTCCAGTGATGAATTTGAGGCCAGAATTGACCACCACTTTTCATTATTTTTCATTACTTTTCACATACTTTCCCGGACTCTCTGATGCGTCATATGGATAATTGTAAATATGAGATATAACTGAATAATATGTTATTTTTTCCAGGGATTTTGAGCACTGTCAGAATATGCCAGATTTTTGTTCTCATCGATGTTTTTAACATTCCATCGTTCAGCTCTTTGAACCTCTGTACACACAATTGAGTGTAGGGTAATAAAGAGAGATCTTTTTATTTTTTAAAAAGACTGCACATGTACTAAAATAACAATAACAAAATGTGAATTTACACACATCCCTTTGTTTTCACGATGATTTCTATGCTTTTTGATATGCTTTTTTGTTTTTTTCCTGAGTAGTGAAGCTGCCCACTTCTTTAGAGAATTCATATATGTACTACTGCACATTACGTTGGTTTTCCAGTATTTTCTGTACATTTGAGCTCTTCTCAGCAGTGGCTGAGATCCAGCTTTTCACACTTAGGACATCTGAGGGACTCAACCTTCAACTATAAAAGGTGCATACATTCATATTAGAAACCAATATTAAACGTTTGTTCAGGATGATCGGTGTAAAATTTGTCTTGTGGGAAATATGTTGGCCTATAATGTCTTGTACAGTCTTAAAAGTAAACGTTACAAAAACCTAGTTTTGCCATGATGCCACATGAAGAATGTTCTTTGAATGAAACTTTATTTTAAAGAGTGTACCTTATGTAGCTCTTAAAATAACTTGCTAGTTCTTATATTTATTTAAATTCTGCAAGGGGGTTATACATGTAGTCGAGAAATGTTGTATGAAAAAGTACGCACTCAACAGCACTATAGCCTATAGCCTATCGCATGCAAATGGCAGATTTTGGATAAACAGCATAACAGTGTTTAATGACTTTTTCAGACTATGGTTCTTATCTTTAGGTGGTTATTTTATATACGATTATGAAACATTTATAATTTAATAAAGTTTTGTAAATCAAAAAAGTATATTTTTCCAATGATGACTGAACGCCTGTGAAATATAAACAACACAAAATAACTAATGTTAATTGTAGCAAGTTATTGTTGAAATACAAGCTCCTTTGCTGTTTGTAGCTGATGCTAGGGGTGAAAAAAACATAGAGGTAAAATTACTCGCAGCTGTTTTAATTAATTGTTGAAAAGACGACTATTCAGCCTCCGTGTTTAAACCGCGATATGGATTCGTTTTGTCGTTTAAAATAAAGCTAAATATATGTTGCATTTTTAGTAGCCTAAACAAACTTCTGTCACACTTTTTTCTGGTGAAAAACAACGAGCCATGACAAACGCTTGTTTTTTTTAACCATATTTCTAACTCATTCCATATTAGTTAGCCTGTGTGATATGCGTAGCCTAAATATCAGATACTAGCCTATTTATACAGTATAATATAATAAGGCCAGTGTATTTGTAAAAAGTAAGAACTTGAAGTAAATTGGTGTTGGTTGCTGTAGTGTTTTTTTTTTCTCTCTTAAAGATACAATATTCGGAAATAATTGCCTAAAAACGCAAGAACTGCTACTTGGCAGGTTTCTTCTTCTTCGAGCTACAAATTCGGCCTACCACAAAACCGATTAAAAAATTATTTTATAATGACATTGGTCCATATTCTAGCTCATATTCCAGCTCATATTCCAGGTTAATTTTCATATCCCACCTCTGACATGGGCATTCTGAGATCCCAATGTAACACAGTCTCATCCCAAAAAGTCATATAACTGACGAGACCGGGTTGCCCAATGGTATGCCTATATTCCGTATATAAGAAAAAAAACTATATTCGACTATCTTAGCTATATCTTTAAAGAAGATGTCAGAAACCGAGAAAGTTGCACTTACATGCTGTCGCAATTAACATGTCTGCAGAGGAACTGACCGCCTCCTTTAACTTGAACTTGGACTTCCGACTAGACGTGCCTGAAAGTGGGGGAGACATTTTGTGAGACGCTCTGACAAACGGACTTTTAGTTACCATTGTAATGCAGCCCTTTGAATGTAAATGACTTAACGTGGTAAAATGAGTAACGTATAAATTCCGAAGCTACACAAGTACGAGTTGTCAAAACGTACATGAGATCCTCTGAGTCAGTGCTTTTGGATTTTAATGTTGTTCCCAACACCGACATAAATAGACCGGCAAAACAGAAAACATGCTACGAGTCCAGTCAACACAACGAGTTTTTTCGTGTGTTTTTCTGTGTTTTTATAGCTAAGATCTTGCGTTCTCATTTCAGTGTAACCAAACCTATGGTAGGCTAGTAATAGCATAATTGCAACGCAGGTAATGCTCCAACGCATAGGCCTAACAAAGAAATCTGATCGTGCACTTCTGTTAAAAATGAAGATCTTGGTCTATAGGCCTACGTTCATATTTCTTATACCATTCCTCATTATGCCTGAACGCAATTTAAATTGTCATCTCACTTGCTCATGCTGTTCTTCAGGCTATAAGCCACAGATTTTACCGCATTGCACCGAGGCTGAATCGGCCTAGGCCTAGTCATATTCTGCTGAACTATATGCGAGATTTAATACGGATTTGTTCCTTCAAGGGGATGCTATTGCTTTCTGGAATAAGAAAGAAGGTCATTACGAAACAGCGTTTGAGCTGTTCTGTTTCGAACGACTATTTTTTTAATACGTACTCACTGTTCTTTTTTTAGATTGAATTTAAATTGAATGCTATTGGAATAGTGGTACAGCACTGCAGTGACATTGATACATATTCATGAACGTTGGCACTGCACTCTGCAGGATGTTTTTTTTTCCATAGAAGAATCAATTCCTGAACAAGGCCTACAGCAGCCCCGCAAGAATGTGCATGCAGAGGCAAAGTTGTAGCTTTTAAGCGCCTTGAGCACATTACATTTTTTGATGCAGTGCTTATTGGCACATTGCGTTTGCATTTTTGAAGACATTCTTTTAAAATACATATAGCTACTGTTCTTATGTAAACATCGAGTATTTTGGTGGGAAATTCATTCTTTCTTGGTTAATAAAGAAAATATGCTGTTTGAACCACGTTATATCTGCATTGATTTTACTTGTAGACCAGGTATTGTATAGAAGGTACGTAGCCTATACTTTTAACTCACGTCTTTGCAATTTGACAAGTTTTATTAATAATTTAAAAAGGGTGGACATTAATGTTTAGATGTTATAGGCCTAAATGAATTTCAGAAAACACTTTGTTTAAAGAGTGAGTGAATCTAGTGATGTATGATTTACCCATCATGAAGAAATTTGTATCTAACAACAGAACGTGAATATTCTGATGGTCTCTGTGTGTACTAGAAACCAGAATAGAAGCCACCTTTTAATAGGGCTGTGGCTAGCGAGCTTTAACTGATGTTGCAATCGATCTTTCAACCACTCCATGACAACGTAAGATGCACAGACACCACAATGCTGCTCCCAAATCTCCGAATGACAGATTTCTTTGTCTTTACATCATACAACTAAAACTTTTAAACTATTACTTTTACACGAATGAATATACAGATCAACTCAAGTCTGCGCCCTAGTATAATAGCCTAAAATATCCTGTTTTAATGTCAGAAAAATAGTTAAAATGTTCATACTTAAGATTTGGGCACAATGTGGTTAGGGTTGGGTTAGAGAGATGGATAAGAAAACACGACAGGTCTACTATGCCAGTAGCTAATAGATTGGTATGGTATTTAATACATCATAACAGAGCAATGAAATTAGACTAAGGTTTTTATAGTGTAAACAAAACTATGTATTACTTAAAACATTACTTTTACCATGTATGATAGATTGCATTAGAATAATTTCCCAGGGGATCGACTATTTCTCTCCAATGGTCATAATATATATATATATATATATATATATATATATATATATATATATATATATATATATATATATATATATATATATATATTTTTTTTTTTTTTTTTTTTTTTTGTAAATTATCGCTGCGTCGCCAAGGCTGCGATGCATTGGTTTGGTGACGTCAGATGTTAGAACAGTTGATTCTCAAATGTGTTGGTTCTCAGATCTCAAATGTGAAATGCACAGACAATGTTTTTTTATTGAGCTTTTTGATGTCTTTAAACATTTTTTTAATTCTTTTTCAAAACATCACTCCCAGTAACTTTTGGCTTTAAAGTGTGCTAATGAATAAGTCAGATATCATAAAGCTTTCTGATTATAATATGTATTTGGGCCTGTGATTGTTGGATTAAGAAGCAACCTGACTCACTGAATGAAGGGCATGAAGAGTTATATTTCAGTGTACAGTAGCCTATACACCTGTGGTTTCTTTGCAACAGAAAAGCGAAAACATCAGAGTCTAAGATTATTCCATTGAAAGCACTGCTTGCAGTCAGTGACAAACTAACACGCAGAGACGTGCAAGATGCACACAGCTGTGAGGAAACGTATAGGCTATAAAACAAATTTGCATGCTAGATCTCTATTGCATTTTCAGTAGCCTAATTGTTTTGTCTTATTCATCAGTGTTATTAAAAGTAACACATTTGCAATACTTGAAATAAATCGTTGGACATTTGAAATAAAGCTTAAGTATTTTGCCATTCAAATAAAAAATGCAAGAAAGAAAGGTGCTTAATCACACATCAGGCGCTAGTTTACATAGACACAAACTCACTCTCAGCAGACACAGGGACACTCACTAAATCCTCTTCCAGTTTGACACTGTGGTCACCGTTTTAAAGGTGCCGTGTGTTGAGACTCGATGGAACCTTTATGCCATTTTAGCGGTCTTACTGCTATTCAAACATTGCTCATTAATTTTACTGTATACTTGCTAATACGGAACTGTAATTTAGCTATATTGAGTCTTATATTTACCCATAATATGTACATAATATTTATTTATTTTTAAACCACACAAATAAAAAAATTAAAAAATTTAAAAAGCCCAGTGAAGTAAATCCCGATATTACAATACGCAGGATTTTTAATAGGTGTGTTAGAGTGGGGACGCCTTTAATGTCGCTTTAAAATGAATAGCACAAATAGTCAGCTTTTTAAATGATACACTGCTATTTCAAATATTAATTAATATTGAGTTATTCCAAATCGTTTTATTCAAACTGATTCATGTGTTTTGATATCATTTTCAACTTAAGCAATAACATCGGAGCAAAACGTTGATCCGTATGGAATGCGATGTTACATTTGAAATGAGTCAAACGTGTAAATACACTTTAGCTGCAGCTGTGCTGTAGGCTAAATAATAGAAATGTTTTTCATTGATGAATAGAATTACATTTTGATGTCACTTGGGATTTTGTTTTATAAGAAGAGGTAGGCTATATTTTCTTAAATATGTTATAACGGTGATAGTTAAGATTGTTGGCTAAACAAGCTCCGACTTGATTGTAGAAATCTACTTTTTGAATGGCTGAAATCTGATATTGCAATTGGTGACGAATTGATCAAAATGAACTTGAGACGAAATTATCAAAAAGGTCTTTCCAGGGAAAATGAGTTTACTTCACAAGTTATTGCAACTTCACATAAAATATAAAAAATCAGGTAACAAATGTTCAACCAAAATCTCTTGCATTCAGTATCTTCCTTTAACATTTTTGTGTTTTCACATTCGTAATTTGTTGCTTTGAGGGAGCAAAAGTAAAGAAGTCACTGCATTCGCCAAATATTGTTCTGTGTTTTGTAAAAAACACGGTTCTTGTAGCGGCTCTCATTGAATGTCAACAAATCTGGATAATATATGCTTTATAATTAACATGTCATAGTAGAGGAACTCTTCACAGAAACACAAGAGGAAGAAAGCAGATTCGCCGGAAAGGGATTTCTGCATTGTTAGTCGTATTTGTCTTCCTTCTCGTATAGTTTTACAGTTGCCTGTGGACTTTAAAAATTAGGAATTACTTTGGATTGTTTGCTAGTTTCTTTTCCGTTTTCCCAATGTGCATCTCAAAGGCTTTCAAACTACAGCGAGTTTGCATGCATACGAGTGTGAAGTTCATTCTTGTCTGTCTAGACTCTGATTACGACCTTGTTTGTCTGCGTTTTTTACCTTGACCTTGGACTTCCATGCAGCTGCCATTTGTAAGAATTGTCCATTCTTCAGTCTGTGAAGACAGCGGTGGATATCTTTGCAAATAAGAGGGATCAATGAACTAACTCATCAACGTTATATCTTACGCACAACGCTGTCTAAAAGGTTTAAAAATGTTCAAATTACCTGTAATACACAAGGACCGTCTCTCTCTCCCCCTCTCTCTCTGCCTCGTCGCTACACATTTGAAACTAATAGCAGAGGAATGTTTTAACAGGGAATGGCACTCTTATTCATTCCTCTTGAAACGTTGCATTGTAAATGTGCAACATCAGACCGGAAGAAAATATTCTGATCCAGGGGTGATAAATTCATTCTTGTCATGACAACTAGCTGGTTTTATTTAAATATTAAGTTGTATTCTACAATCTAGTATTTAAATGGGAATAAAAATGAGGCATAACTGAGTAAATTACTACCATATTGGGAAAACGTAAATCTCTTTTTTAGTGTGTGTGTTTGTGTAATCATGACGGTGAACATTTTGTAACACATTTTGTATCCATACAACTTTTTTATGCATATTATGCTGATATCATTCATTACTTTACATACACGTCAACTTCAACATTAACATGGACGGTATGGAAAATAATTAAGTGCAATTGTGTAACTGAATATGCTTTTGGCAAATTATTTGATAAGTTCGACAAAAACATACACAGTGATGAAAAACAATTCGCAAATTAGACAATCTCTCCGGCCATTAGTTTGATAATGAAAATGACACGAAATGAAAAATACCCTATTCCTCGTATGAATGTGTTTGATTCTGTCTGGCTGTTGTTGTTTTTTTGTTTTTGTTTTTGTTTTTAATTATTATTATTAGTTATAGTGTTGTTGGTCTATTTTTATTTGTTTCTAAAAAAAAAAAATTGACAGAAGATTGGTTCATACGTAGCCTATAGAAAATAATGCACCTATTTTTCCTCTTTGAAATTGCAAGCGATTCCGCTCATAGGTTAATGCAATGACAATCAGTTGCTTTTATTGAAATAAAATAACTGACAAATATTTAAATGAATACGACCATTTTAATCGTGTGCAGTGTGCTTGTCTGATACACAAATTAATAAATAGAGTTTTACAGAATATATGTAGGCCTATGCTTTTTTGTATGTGGCCCATGAATGTATTTATGTAGGCTAATGTTGTTACAGATATGCGACTTTTTAGAATGTTGATACTAGAGGAGGTTAAGTAATGAAACCGTGCATACTGCTAAGTGTCCAGACGTTTGTCGGCAGAAATGTTGAGGTTGTTTTCGTTCCACTTAGCTTGAAGCCTTCCCCTTTAAGAATGACTGTCTCCAACTCTCTTAGCCAATGTCTGGGCACAGACAACCTTAGAAGCCAGGCGTGAAACGTGAGCCAGTAGTTGTTTAAAGGGATTATTCTTCCCACCCACAATCCAGTCTCTTCGGGCTAGTTAGCATATCACGTGCCTGCGCTTTAATGAACTGGACACATGGATATAGTCGTGCGCATGCGCGTGCGTAAAATGTAGTTGGAAATGAGGTATCAGTCTTGGAGTAGGCGACTTTTAAAAAGCATCGGCAGCCCGTGATATGACGACTTCGCTGGTCCTGCATCCACGCTGGGCGGACACCTTGATGTACGTGTATGAAAAAAGCCCGAATGAAAATAATCAAAATAAAAGCCAAATTATGGAAGGATTGAGCGGGAATTGCCCTGCGACTCATTGCAGGGAACTGATTTCACACCCCGCGCTGGGGCGGCATTCCGGCACCATAGCGACTCACCAGGGATCCGTGTACTCGGATATATCTTCCCCAGAAACCGGGCGACAGTGTCCCGCTCCTCAGACGTCATCTAGCGCCTCTCTGAGTTACGGCTACCCCTTTGGAAACCCTTACTACGGTTGCAGATTATCTCACTCGCACAACGTGAACTTGCAGCAGAAACCATGTTCATACCATCCAGCAGAAAAATATGCCGAAACGAGCAGCGCTTTGCCCTCGGAGGAGCTCTCCAGCAGGGCAAAAGAGTTTGCTTTCTACCCGAGTTTTGCCAGCTCGTACCAGGCGGTTCCAGGATATTTAGACATGTCGGTGGTTCCCAGTATTAGCGCGCATCCCGAGCCACGTCACGATGCATTGATCCCCATGGAGGGCTATCAACACTGGGCTCTGTCGAATGGCTGGGATGGGCAGGTGTACTGTTCAAAGGAGCAAACACAGTCTTCTCATCTTTGGAAATCTCCTTTTCCAGGTAAGTCTTACCACACTTGTGAAACCATTAACAATAAAAAATAAATCAAAGAACATGCATAATAGGGGTACCAATACGACTTCCTGTTATGATAATTTGGCTAGACTTTTTTTTTACTCCAACTGTAAACTTAACATGCAGAGTATTCACCTTAAATGTTTCGATATATATTCTCGAATAAAAGCCATCAGCTGATAAGACATTTGAACTCAAACATCTACATAATGCATTACGATTGCGCACCCACAATGTCTGCATGAACCTGTCAAATGTGCAATTTTTGTTCCATTAATTTTTGACACGTGACAGTTGGGAAAATCTAAATTGGCTTTCCAGAACAAGAATTTGAGCAAATCCTAAACACAAGTAAGACTGAGTTTAGAATAGATATGTTTTATTTACTCCCTCTCACATAAAATAGTACAATGTTTGAGTGACGTATCTGGTTACAGAGGATAGTCATATATTAACTCGGATATTATTGAGTCACAGGATTCTTAAGGCAGGAAAGTCACGCAATTTGGAACTGGGGTATGGCAATATTGCCTACCTTTGCTCCCCCCGTATAATATGATAATAAAAGGTCTTATTTGTACCATGCATATAAATCTTTGACAGCAGTGATCGGGAGTGGTGCCCCGCAATCTGTTATGGACATTTAGCGAATTCCATGTAGCAGCATTTTTTTTTTCCAAGAGCAGCTGACGTTCTGTAGTCAAGTTATTGATTTAGCTGTGCATGGGCAAAATATTGACTCGGTCATTCAGTATTGTTACTCAGCTGTGGCAAATCAAAATTACAAAATGCCAATATTGTGACTATATACTGGCTTATAGGCTACTGTCGCAATTATAGTGCCGTGCCCCCCCCCCCCCCCCAAGACGTCGTCACCACAATAAAACACAGTTATTGCCTATATTTTAAAATATCCACATAAGGCTATAGAAACAGACAAAATAGACTTTTTAATGCAGTGCTTGTGTTGTTTTTAATCATCGTCCCAACCAGTTTTTACAGTTAAAGTCTGTTTGGATTCGTTAGACAATAATACGTCTATGAGAAGGGCAGTTGACATGCCTCTGTCTTGTGTAAATGTTATGTAGCCAGAGTAAAGACAGAGAAACACATAGAATAGGCTACATCTAAATGTATCTGCTTCAGATGCCATGATGAGCCTATAAGATCCTTCACCTTATTTTACCTTTATGCCACAGTGAGGCAGTGATTTGGGGAAATTAATGTTGCTGAGCGTCAATGTGTTTACATTTATAATTAAAATGCACGTGATTTTACATAACAGTATATTGTTTAAGGAGTAGTCTATTTGTTTGACAAGCACCTGTCGTAAACCCTCAATTTTGAAAAGACTTTACACTAAGAATGATTTGGTCTTTTCACACACACACACACACACACACACACACACACACACACACACACACACACACACACATATATAAAATGTAGCTAATATTTTTTTTAAATATTATTTTTCACAATAGGAACATAAATTGTTCATTTATGACATTGGCCCCAGATCACTGACCATAATTAAATCATTTGACGCAACAATTAAATTTTTTTAAATAGATAACTCAGTTTCCGCATGGTGTCAAATTGAGCTTGATGCTTCCATTCACTTTTTGTTTTTCAGATGTTGTTCCGTTGCAGCCGGAAGTCAGCAGTTATCGGCGGGGGCGCAAAAAGCGTGTTCCTTACACCAAGCTACAACTGAAGGAACTGGAAAAGGAGTATGCAGCAAGCAAGTTTATCACCAAAGACAAGAGACGACGTATCTCTGCGACAACCAACCTCTCAGAACGCCAAGTTACTATTTGGTTTCAGAACCGCAGAGTGAAGGAGAAAAAGTTTGTCAGTAAATCCAAGACTAATAATCACATGCATACTTGATGCATGTTTCGTACTTTTTTCCCCGCCAGCTTATATCCTTCCGTCCAGAAAGTCTGATATTTACCTCTGTTCCGAAATCATGAATGAAGAACATCCGGGCAGCCTCAAGCCTAACCTGTCTTCTTTCACTTTATTTAATTTAAATCATGCACACAGTACCATAACCGCTCACTCTTTGGCTTTTTGGGCATATGATACAAAACTGTGAAAATACAGGAAAAAAAAACATTTCAACTTCGTCCTTTTCTATGAATGTACATATATAAATAATAAATATTTAAAATTACACAAATATCAAAGAGACACATGGTTTACGTGCATCTGAAAATGAAAGGAGTCGCGACTATTCTGCATCTCTTAATATGTGCGTCAAAGCCAGCCAGCAGAAAACACTCGAGGGGCTCAACACGCACGAGAAGAGAAAGAAAAAAAAAATCAATCGGACACTTTGGATGAATCAAGACTTGTATAAACTCTCAAAAGGCTATTGCAAATATTGAACTGAGTCACGAATAGAAACCGTAATTTGTTTTTCGTGGAGATGACCATAGATTTTGCTAGAATGAGCCTGCGAGACTTCAGAAGCTAAATGGTTCACTGTGGGATACATTGCTTTTTAATGCCGAGGGTAAACCATGGCTGCTAATGTTAACTGTACAGTTTAATGCTTCTATTATTTAATTTAGGTTTTGCGTTGACAGTTCTGTAAAAAAAGATAAGGAATGTTTCAAGATCATTTGTATGTGTCCCTATTAGCAGTGAAGGATGACTCTGCCATGCAACTGGAATGATTGTAAGCTTTTAAAAATCATTTAGTATTAAACATTAATGCACAGCCTTTTTGTTTTTATATAGAAATGTGTATCGTAAAGCATTGGAGCTGTTCACACAACTTGTCTGTATCTCTTTTCGTGCAGTATGTGAACTGTATTGTGGTGTTCAATTCCTAAAGTAATGAATTGAGACATATTTCATAAATAAAAATGACAATGGAATTTGTTGAGTACATATTTGTTGTGAATCAATGCA